AAGGGAAGAAATTGCCTTTTGTCACTTGTGGGTGAAAATTATGGTGTCAAATATAGATCATGAAAATGTGATCTGTCTAATCAGCCTAGATTTGAGCAGATTGGATTGGATTTATATTCATTGGCGGATTAAAAAGACCATCTAAAAGATTGGGCCAATTTGAGCTACGTCTATAATCTAAAAAAAAATTATCGTATGTTACCGAATAAATTTTTCATAGCGCGAATTGACCATAAAAAACTTACGAAAACATAGAAATATAAGTCTTTTTGTTTGATTAGTCAAAATAAATAAAAGAAAAGGTATTAGTTTGATTTGGTAATTAAACAATTATAATAAAAAAACGAATTGGGTCATGGCCCATTGTTTAGTCCTAATTGACCCGCCAAGTTCTGATCCAAGCAAAAATTGGACGGGTTATAAGCCAACTCATTTATTTATTCGACCCGTTTTAACCTGTCCATATATATATATATATATATATATATATATATATATATATATATATATATATATATATAACCCAACCCGCTCTTTTAACACTTAATAAAAATCATTTTCTTTTATTTTATGCTCATTTCATATCACTTGCTTCAATCAATAGTCATGCATTTTTTTTTTCAATTTTAATACTTTAAAATGATAAAATTCTCCAAAAAACTATTTTCCAAGACAAAGCCTTTTTTACAGATTCTTTGATAAGAAAGGATTCCCCTCTGGATCGAACACATGAAATAAAGTATGCCTAAAAATTATGAGAACAGAAAAGGAGAAAAGAACATCATAAAAATGTACACTTATAAACTCACATCTTCTGAGCATCCCATGAGTCCATGATCCCAAAAACAAGCTTCACTTCAACAAAGAAAAGAAAGAAAGACCAGAGAAGGGAACACAGAAAAAAGAGAGAAAGAGGAGAAAATGAGAGTGAGGGGTGGGGGTGGTGAAATAGAAGGGGGTATATTAGTTTGTAGAGAAGTTATGTGACAATGCCATGCAAAAAGCAAATGAAGAGAAGGCACAAACAAACAAAATATTGTATTGACTTGAGAAGAGAGTTAGAGACAAAAGGCACAAAAGAGAAGAGCTGACCATATATATATCGGTGACAACAATGGGAAAAAAGGGGGAGATCTATATTTTCATCGTTAAAATGGAAAAAATTTCATTATAAAGTTTATGTAAACAAACATATGACATGTAAATAAAATAAACACCAAATGCACTACCTTTTGTACAGGGCATTACTTTGGGTAGAGCATTCAAACTGATAAAAAGTATTCTTGTTTTGTCTTCACAAATAAGATTTTCCTTAAAAATCAAAGAACTTTCTTTTTCAGCCAATTCACATTACACTTTTTTCCTCTTTATTTTTCTCTTTGAGATTTTTCCTTATATACCTTTTACCTCTTATGCCTTCAATTTCCTGAAGCCATTGGACAATTTTAAAAGCTTCCAGAAAAAAGTGTTGACAGCTAAGGTGTTTGGGTAATTTTATGTTTCAGGAAATTGATTTGGTTAAAAGTATCTCAATACAAAATAACAATTTTAAAAAAAAAATTAAATGTATTTACAAACAAACATTTTCAAAGAAGTTTCTAAAGGTAATTAGAGGATCTTGCAGGGCCACAAACTTCAATTAATTCCTAGAAATTTCTTTCATTTCTTAACTCATGAGGGGGAAAATTAATAGTCCCCCTATTTCAAAAAGAATAAACTTATTTCCTTTTTAGTCCATTTCAAAAAGGAATGACCCATTTCTAAATTTTGAAATAACGTAACTTTAAACTTCTCATTTTCCCTTAATGAGATGATTTATAGTCACTAAATATACATATATTGGTTTAGACCACAAGTTTCAAAAGTTTTCCTTTGCTTAAACTCCGTGCCTAGTCAAATAGGTTCATTGTTTTTTAAACGGAGGGAGTATAACGAAAGTGGATTAGACCAAAGTCAAAAAAAAATCATGGTGATTGAAGGTGTTAAAAGGGACAAGGTAAAGAAGTTGCCCCGGAAGACCTACAAGCCCTTAAATTCCATTTAAACCTAGAGAAACATAGAATATAATGGGGGAAAATAGATCTATGTCGGCGATACCAATTAGTTGGGATTAAATTTTGGTTATGCTACTACGTTAATGCTAGGTGCAATGCCTGCTAGGAGTCTTTAGTATTGTCGGAGACATATATATTTATCGAAATGTGGAGAATATCTATTGTTAGAGAAACTAATAACTAAAATATTGAAAAGAGACGGGCTTAAATGGAGCGACATGGACACTGATAATAATATACAATTACTAATTCCAACTTGCTTAGCATTGAGGCGTAATAATTTTTGTCGTAGAGCAAAGTCAAACAACATGAGAAGCCAATTCTTACAAGCAAAGGGGAACAATGCAATGCATGAACTCTTGTCCAAATATGAGTTTTTGTTGACAAAAGACAACAATTTTCATTGAAAGACCCCGCTCAAACCAAAAGAGCAAGTGAACCTATTAAATATGTGGTAATCCAATTGTGAGACTTTTTCCCAAGACAATCACCCCATTAATTTTGTGTTGATCTCCTTTCAGTGATTGACAAATTTCACCATCTATTTTTTGCACTGAATTCCATGCTAAGACATCAGCAAGTCATCACCTCATAAATTTTTTAGAGTGTAAATTATGAACTCCTCACCAAAAACAACCCTCCTTTTTATTTTTATTTGAAAATGGAGTTATCAAACATTTCAGTCAAGTATAACTGTATAAGGGTATTAGATAAATTTAAACCATTAGAGATTCTGTGACAACTCAACGAAGAACAAATCATAAATGGATGATCTAAACTAGATATGAATTTCATTTTTCCTTTTATATCAATTCCTTGAAGTCATGAATTGAGCTTTAAGCTCGACATTATGATACTGCATTATATGATCATAGACAATACAGCTTGTTGAAATAATCATATTTAGAAAAGAATTTAGATTATAACTACATTGATTTCTTTTTTTGAATTACTAGATTGCCTCTTAAAATTGGCATAATTAATGGCTTTATGCTAGTAAACAAAATGAAATGTTTTAATAGTTATTGAAAGAACAGTTGTTCCAATATAAATTTCTTTACTAACAAATTTTGGTGAGCTCAGATGAAAATGGTATATTAGCAAGCATTTCTAGAGATAATGTAAGATTAATACAATATTTCTGCCTTTAGGTTCACCAAACACTTAAGATCTTAACCATAAAGATCGAATGAACAAAATTTAACACTAAAAGAATTTCATTAAAGTTCCTCAGTTAGTAGGAAAATGACCTGTTTAGATTTAGGTGTTTGAAGACTAATTTAAGAAAGTCTTGGAATCAAATAGAAGTACGGAGTGACAAATTCTTTCTTTGAATTTGTTGACACCCTTAAAATTAGTGCATTTCATAGTGTGACATATTTTGAATTTTAAGGTAATGTCGGGTATGCTTTCAACAAATAGGCAATACTTTTTAACGACACACAAAACACTCTCTAGTAATTGTACAATTGAAAATAAAACTGACAGCTATATATATATACATATATATATATATATATATATATATATATATATATATACATAACACAATGTTAGTGTTATGTTTTTTACTGGCTCAAGCTACATACAATTATATAGGGGAAAATAATTATCCACCAATAGAAGGGATAGACACGAAAAACAACAGAGTTATGTGTTCAACAAAAGCTGAGCCATACCTGCTAAGGAGTAAGAGGACGCCTCCAGTGATTAGAACAAAGAGAGTAACATGGAGAACCAACGTATAGGCACAGGAGGACTGAGGAGAAAGCCAATCCCCAAAATAGCAGCAAGATGAAAGATCTCTTCTTTCGTTTAAACCAAGTGGACCCCAAACCAAAGCTTTGATCGCTGCGTTCCGCCCAATAGTTAGTCCTCTTACCATACACCACTTTGAATGGTTACTTTCCCCCTTAATATAGGTCGATTCACATCGTTTTTATAGGCAAACTCAGCAGTTGGAAGAACCCATCATGCCAAAACTCCAAGAATAACCGCTTGTGCTGATGATAATTCTTCTCTGCTTGATTCTTTTGGCTCAATTCCGGAGACTTGTCAGTGGTGCAATTTGATTCAAAACTCCAATATGAGGAAGAATCGATCAGACGTGGAAAAAAAAGGAGAAGACAAATAGGCAAGACTTTTGGGAAATTGATGGGAGGCACTGATCCGAGACTATAGAATTTGGCTCTCCTGTTCATTGATTGAAATGAAAAAGAAATTTTCTGAAAATTATTAAGGAGGTTCAGCTGAAAAATTGTATGATTTGATCCATTCATGGAAGATCTATCTAGTGCTTCCTAAACAACAGTTAGAAAGTAGAATGTGATAAAGTTATCCTAATTCATAAGCAAACACTTCCATAATTGGAGCTCATGACCAATGTATGATGAAGTTTTTCATTAAGGTCCTGCGGTCAATTAGTGATGTTGCAGGAACAGCCATGAAATAAGTTATCACCTTGTCCAAATTACTAAAAGTTTGAAAATATGGGATTTTTTTTGTGACAACTGAAGAAAAGGGGACATTAGCAGTTGAACACCTCGTAATGATATTGTCAATTTATTAATATGCACATGAGAAGAATATTTGAATGACTGGTTAATTTTCTATGAAGATACAAGGATTAGAGATTTATAGCAATCACCTTTTTGCCTACTACACACACCAAAACTTTAGATCACACCCCTGTAGACGTAGTGAACAATGACTCTGCGGACATTAGGACCAATTAGCAGTCAAACAACACATTTAGTCACCAGCCAATGTTGCTCCTTTTTATTTGGTTCTCTTATGCTTAACTTCTTTCTTTTGTCCCACTACAGTGCTCCCCTATCCAATAACTCACGTAAAATCTCTAAAGTTTTTCTCCATTTGACATAGATCTACTGTAAGGAGGCAAAATCCAAACATGAAACCAATCCGTAACTACCAACAAGGCCAAGATAGTTAACATATATTTACTTTGTCTTCATTACTCCTCAACTTACTCTTTTGATCTGTACATAGAACTAAAAAAGTTACTTATGCCTCCGCATCTAGCAGCAAAGAAGACTCGTGGAAATTATTCATACTTAGTTCTAATGCATCTCACATTCAATCCAAAGCAGTTAAGCAAGAAAACCATTCACAAGTCATCTAATCAAGGAAATTTACATTCTTTCAGCTCCTCCTCACGGTACTGCCGATAGAAGATTTGCAATGGAAATTTAGTAAGATCTCCTAAGATTTCAATGTTTTTAGAACCCAGTTGATTAATCCAACTATCCAAGCATAACCAAGAGAACGCCACATAACATTTTTCCATACATTCACATATTCTATACAACAACAGTTACACCTCAATCAGTTGTGTTAGGGTCCGAACAAAGCTCCACATTAGTAATCGAATAAAATACTATCAATTGTATAAGGTTTTTTTGGAAAGACATGCTGGTTTAGCCAAAAGTGGACAGATGATAAGATGTTAAGTGAATCGTTGGGCTGGTTTAGCACAACAAACTGGTGTAAGAGCCAATTTTTTGGACAAGTTTGGAGATGGTGGAGTGATGGTGTGGAGCGGACTTGTGTTCCATGTCCGTTGGAAATAAAAACAAAAGAGAAGCCAATCAGTCTTGGTGGTGGGCTTTGCCCATAAAATACTTGGAGAATATCGGTGGCACATATCTCTAGATATTGAGTTCGAGGGGCCCGTCAATACTAGTGTGAGTTATGCAGTTTTTAGATCGATAGGGAAATTTGGAGAGGTGCAAACAAAGTTCCACTTTTGAACTTTGAAGTTTAACAAAAATAGAAGCTAGATATAAGTGTAGTGCCTTTTGGAAAACAATGAAGGCTTGACCGAAAATCAGATTTCTATAATACCATATAAAGTGAGTCTTTGGGCTAACTTGGTCCAACAAGTTTGAGTCAGCTATATAAATTCTTAATGGTAGTAATGGCGCAGGCTAGCCACTTTTCAATATTGAAAAATAGCCACAATCCTGAAGTTTCAACTTCTACAAGTGAAACTACATAATAGTATCCCAGAGTTTCACCTTTCACTTGTAGAAGGTGAAACACCAGGGCACTAGCTAATTTTCAATTACAAGGGCGGAAAAGTGGCTATTTGCGAACAAAATTTCCTTCTCAATAGGCATTTCGCTATACTTGAATTTTCATTCCCATACTCAATAATATAGGGGGGAAATAATGTTTTTCCCCCAAAATGTGCAATTGCGGCCTGAAAATTTCATTAGTGAGTAATTTTTGTGAGAATTCCAAATATATGCAACACGCACATGTGAAATGCAATTTACATTGCGTCCTAAGTTAATTGAGATAACAGACGGTCTGAGAGATGTTGTTAGCTTAAATAACATCTAATATACAATTTATGAATCGCATTTTAACAATGCATTTTATAATTTGCATTTATGAAATGAAACATACAAATCGCATTTAACCATTTGTTATGACATTATTTTGTGAATTTTGAAAATAGCATCACGCATACCCCTTCTATGGTCTTGAATTTGAAGCGGCACATAATTTAAGAAAGAAAAGAATACTTTTGAATTTAAGAAAGAAAAAAATACTTTTGAAAAGAATACTCTTGAATTTATAATTTGAAGCGACACAGAATTTAAGAAAGAAAAGAATACTTTTGAATTTTATGGTTTTAAACATGTCTAATATTTGTAAGGTTATAAAACTTTAATAACTTGTGGCCTTAGACATATCATAACATCTATACACTTACAAGAAACTTCTCATTAACGGTTAAATGGAAAGTGTAAATCAACGGTTTCCAAATATTAAAATATATCATTCTTTTCAAAATGGACTAATAAGGAAATAGTATCACAGTAGAACGGCGGGAGTACATGGAATAATTAGTGCATTTCCTAGATGATTATTGACCATTCATCACATCAAAAGGCATAAAGCGAATAGTAATTGCATATTATAAATTGCATTTCTGACATACAATTTACAAATTGCATTTCCAATATTGCAATTTATAAATTGCACTTCAGAAATGGATTTATAAGTTGCATTTCAAAATTGCTATTTAAGCAAACTTTATCTCCTAGATGATCCGTCACTTAAGACGCATATAAATCGCATTTAATATATTTTGCATCTTTTTCGAATTCTGACAAAAACTACAAACTAATAGAATTTTTCAGCCAAAAATCCCACATTTTGAGAAAAAAAACATTATCCACCAACAGAAAGGATTAACATGAAGGGGGAAAAACATAGTATTTTGTTCAACAAAAGCTAAGTCATACCTGCTTAAGAAGTACGAAGATTAGAACAATGAAAGTACAATGGAAACTCTTCTCTGCTTGATTGTTTTGGCTCCATTTTTGTGACTCGTCAATTTGATTTAAAAAGAGAAAACAAATAGGGAAGATTTTGGGAAATTGACGGGAGGCTCCGACCCGAGTCAATAGAATTTGGCTAATTGTCTTCCCTAGTTGATTGCTTGAATTGAAAAAGTAATTTTCTGAAAATTATTAGGGTGTGTTTGGACTTTGGACAGTGGGCATCACTATTACAGCCTACTAATTACTCTAACCAAAAAAAAAGAAAAAAAAAAAAACTAGTAATTAGGGGGTTTTCATGAATACCAAGGCGATGTAGGCGTTTGGACATAAAAATATAATTTTTGGAAAAAAAATAGTATTTGAAAATTAAAATTATATTTGGAAATGCATTTGACTTGAAAAAATGTTACAGTCGTGTGATCTACAAAGTAAAACCTCCGCTATATAGTACTAGTTATGGAAGGGATTGATGCCAGATGGAACAAGACGCTTCGAAGCCAGTACCGTAGCTAGATTGAAAAGCAGTCCCTTACCCTTTCGGTCGAGTACAACCTCCCAAACGCTAGGTTCAAGCAACTTAATACTTTGAAATATTGAACTTAAGAAAAGCTATAAGCTAAGCTTGACTAAACTAAAAATTGACCCTATTCTTCAGGCGGGACTCCTGAACTAAAGGAAAACTAAGAATTGACAACTTAGGAAAACTAAAATTGACCCTATTCTACAGGCGGGACCCCTGAACTTAAGGAAAAGCTAAAGATTAACAACTTGAGGAAACTAAAACTGGCCCTATTTTCCAGGTGGGACCCCTTAACTCAAGAAAAACTAGAGATTGAAAACTAAAGGAAACTAACAACTGACCCTATTCTCCAGGTGGGACCCCTGAACTCAAGGGAAACTAAAAACTAACCACTTAAGAAAATTAAAAATGACCCTATTCTCCAGGCGGGACCCATGAACTTAAGGAATGCTAAAAACTCTTCTGACTAAAGAGAATGCCTAGGAGGTACGGTTCTTCTCAACTAGGGAACATGTAGGAGGTGAAAACCTTCTCAAACAACCTTTGTGCTGACAAAATTTGGGCACTACACTTGAAAAATTCAAGCTTCCAAGCTTTGATTTGGACACAGTCTTCGTCCCTGTTTCAAACAAAGAAAACTTGTGAGTTTAAACATGGTGGTTGGTTTGTGGCCTTGACTTTGAGGGCTATTGCTCCTTCACTTGCCATGATAACTTTGATTTCAACTTGAAAGACCTTGCTTGTTTATTGACTAACCACTTTCTCTGTCACCCTTATCATAGAAAATACCTCTGATCCGTTCAAGCCCAGACCCCTCTATTTGTTGCATTTGCTCATGAATAACATTTACCGAACCTTTGCATTTCACATGAATCCCCAAAGCACGTTGATGGTTACCGACCCAGTGCACATATTATTCTTTCTTGACTATGCGCTTTTGTGCTAGCAAGACTCCGCTTTTGTGCAATTCGAAAGCTAGTAGCATATTTTGTAGTTATTTCTTACTTTTATGACAAAATAGACTCAAGAGGACTTAAACAAAGCAAGAAAACTAAGTTAAGGGGACAACGGAAGAGATGACATCTAACAAGAAAAATCACCAGCAGAAATTATCAGATGTGGATACCAACTCTAATGACCGTGACATGCATATCTCTCTC